ACAACGTGGAACAGGATTCTTGACTCAGACGAGCTAAACACAAAACCAACTACCAGAGAGCAACCTGTATTACCTTCCCCAAAGTAGCCACTGTCATAAACCGATTGCAGTAAAATCGTTGATGAAAGGATTGGTTTTGATTGAGATGGGTATCAACTAACACACCGCTATTTTGTTCTGTACATACATAAAACTCTATTAGACTTCAACCTACGCAAACATAAAAGTTCCAACTCAAAGCTGATGAATCGGTAATGTTTTTGGTAGTGTGCTTGGGAACATTAATTTAGCATTCGTTTGTGGAGTTATCATTTGGTTAATGCATCATTAAGCTTAATATGATGAAGATGTTGAAAGTCAAAGTGGCATATTGATTTCAAGAGCATCATTGAAAGGATGGCATTTCTCAAGGTAAAGTTCACGGCTTATCAAAGAATAAACGTTAGGTGACCTTTAAAGCGTCATCTGAAAGGGTTTAAGATCGCGTTCCAGATTATTGCACTTCTACAGCGAAGTTCAAGTCTGCGTGTGTGTACATAACTGTTTATACCAGTCCGTACTTATAGTGCTAGCTCACTGAGATGCCATGCTACAGTTTAACATGTATACCCCACTCAGACACTGTATGCTGACTTGTATATGTTTTATCACTTTAATGCCGAACGCCAGGTAGGGAAACAACAAGTACCATCTTTTAGCGTGTCATAGTATGACGCAGCTAGGGGATCGAACCACCGACATTCCACTGTCCACTGAGTTTTGTTTAGAGCAGCTTAGAAGACCATTTCAGCATATCACGGCAACAAGGAAGAACATGAAGTGATATGGATGGAAGACGTTTGCTACATTGATGAAACCAAAGACCACAGGTATAGTGCTGACAAACCTAGAAACATCAGAATGAATGTTGGATGTGAACCTAAGGCCACAGGTTTCTGGCGCACGTTAGAGGTGCATAGTATGTCACTGATCTAGGTAGTGAGAGAGTGTGGTTTAACGCCGCTTTTACCAATATTCTAACAATATCACGTCGGGGACACATACAATTGGTTTCACCCATTGTACCAATGTGGGGAATCGAACCTGGACCTATGGTGTGACGAGTGAACGCTTTAACCACTAGGCCACCCAACAGCTCACTGATCTAGTAATAGTAATTAAATTACGATGCAAATTAGGAATCACCCATAGAAATACGAAACACGTTTCATTTATGTCTTAATTAAGATGACACCAACTCTAGGCTGCATGTAGTCACTACGATATAATCATCGCTGCGTACCTCAACACGAGACTCCATAATAACTGAAAGACATTCAAACAATGATACCCTGGTCAAGCTCAACAATTATTCCAAGATGTTCGTACATGATACCACGGGGGTCTCACCCTGCAAGTATCGTGTCTTAACTGGATTTGACACAATCCTGTAATCATACGTATTGTAAATATACGCACAAAAACTACAGGTAACAAGAATAGGCGAAACATACAGATGAAAGAACTCGGATCGTTAATCAAGATCGCATTCGGTTGCAGATGACGCAGGAATTTTGCGCACCGCGGACAGAGAACCAGATTAGAATTACACAGCGTCCACTGGGGCTGGCACATGTACGCTCAGGAAACAGTAATTACTCTCAAAGGAGCGTATTTGCTTAGAAAAACCGGTAATTTATTCAATAATTGGCATAGAACGACGTAATCCTCAAACAGGCGGCTATGTAATTGTGCTTCAGATTGCCAAACGGGAGAAGTGCGCTGCCATAATTAATTACACTATAAAGCATCAGGGCTTTTTCTTAAAGGATTCCTCGAAAAGACGCCCAACGATGCTCGGAGTTTAGTTTTGACGTCCTTGCCTTTGATCATTATCGTCATAAGAAAACACAAGGCTTTGGCAAAAACGAATATTCCAACCATAAGTTCGGAACGATTTTGCTTTGACGATAAGTTTTTTTCAGGCCGAACAGGTCGATAGATTGTAATAAGGTTTGGGCTTTTGTCAAAATAAATGTCCAGTCGTTTCATTTTACAATGTGATTTTGTCATTATGTTTGAAAAAATAATGTCAGTTTATTGTGTTTTTGAAACATTGAATCGTGTTTGTGGACAAAACCCTTTGCATGATTTAGATGGAACGAGATGCTCCTTGACTTACAAAGAAGCTGTATGTGCGGTAATGTAATTGACTGTTCTGTCTGCAACACAACAGGGGTTTTTCATCACCAGGAACAAGATGCTAAATAACACGAGGGGCGCAATGGTGAAGTCTGGAAATAACTGTCGCATACGTAGTCACTGAGTTGAGTTGCGTCCCTTGGGCACTCCAGGAAACTATGATGCTGAGTTCTAATCCCGGTTAGCCCTGATTATGTTTTGAGGTTTGTCAGCACCATACCCATGCCCGTCGTTTCACAACACTGGTAAATGTCTAAATCCTCTATCACTTTGGGCTTTCCTCTCACAGCGGCGTTGAACCAAACGCATTCACTCTATTGCAGTTGATGTAGGTCAAACACTGAAGAACCTATTTAACAAATGGCCTGTACCTTCTTCTCAGAACATGATTAGGAACTCTGTATGGCCGCAAAATGAAGACTAGAAAAAAGGCAAATCGTTGATATGTTGATATACAGAGGAATAACCTCAGATTGAAAGGGAAGAATGATTTGAGTCCAGCCTTCTTCAGTGGGTCGTTATTTTGTGTTAAAAGAAATCGGTTGAAAGAAGACTGGGGTAAGAAATTAATTTACAAACGCATGACCTCCAGCATGTTCGAAATGTAAATTTGTGATGAAAAAAGTCGAATTGATGAATTTTCAAAGATAAAATGTCCAATTTAGCTATCAGCCGTTGTGTATAATGCAAACTGTTTTAGAATTTTTAAAATGCTGTTTTAATCAAAATTTATTTTAAAAAAGGTATTCTTTGAGTGTTGACTAAGCGTCAGTACAGTTCAGTTTTTGGATATTATATGCTTAGTTCAAGATATTTTCTAAACGATATGTAACCCAACACTGTGAAGGAAGTGAAGTAATAATTCATCAAATATGTACTAGTATACATTGTCAAAACAGTGTTCTATTACGTCACTCTCACAATAACATCTGCGAAAATCAGATACGTCAGTTGTTATTGTCGATTCTTTTACCAGATATATCAAAATATATCTTAAAAGAAGGCGTACTCAATACTGGTGACACTTTCACATTTAATTCAAGTACTGTACATTTCGTGATGGCATGAAAGGGCTGGAATTGTTTACATTAGTGTGATTTCCTTGTCCGCAACACATCAGCCACAATCTAGTTATTCACGGAACCAGACATTGTAAGATCCGCGTGACGTTTGCTTGATTAGCTCCTCGGTCAGCTTCAATGAAATAGCCTGATATACGTTGGCATATATATAGAACACAAACGTGCTTGTGTCCACTGTATCAAATGCCAAAATGACCGCAGTAATTACACCATTCATCATCGAGGCATGTTTCCGTAAGATCCTCGCAGTACTCCGATTGTCCCTGAATGACATTGGGGCTTCCGCATGCACTGAGTACAATACACCAAACACGGATTAATTCTGCATCTTACATAACACTCACCTGCATTAACAGGCATCGATTTCTCATTAAGTTAGACAATTATTGGCCGTATCAACGAACAGCGTAACAAGCCTTTAGTTCAGTTAGTGAGTTAAAAAATATCATTTAACATTGCATCAGAATCTCATTGGTTGACGGTGATGGGAACCGTTGGTGCCTACCAGTCGGGCCGCCCAGGTAGAAGAATGACAGGGCCATTAAATCTCTGATCTATTTATTGCCAATGACAACAGCTAACCCCAACTGCATAACGTGTAATATAACGTGGAACAGGATTCTTGACACAGACGAGCTAAACACAAAACCAACTACCAGAGAGCAACCTGTATTACCTTCCCCAAAGTAGCCACTGTCATAAACCAATTGCAGTAAAATCGTTGATGAAAGGATTGGTTATGATTGAGATGGGTATCAACTAACATACCGCTATTTTGTTCTGTACGTACATAAAGCTCTATTAGACATCAACCTACGCAAAACATAAAAGTTCCAGCTCAAAGCTGATGAATCGGTAATGTTTTTGGTAGTGTGCTTGGGAACTTTAGCATTCATTTGTGGAGTTATCATTTGGTTAATGCAACATTAAACTTAATAGGATGAAGATGGTGAAAGTCAAAGTGGCATATTGATTTCAAGAGCATCATTGAAAGGATGGCATTTCTCAAGGGGAAGACTTATCAAAGAATAAACGTTAGGTGACCTTAAAGCGTTGTAGGTTAGATGAAGTGAACATGGGCTTGAGGTCGCGTTCAGGACTATTGGGCTTATACAGAGACGTGTATGTGCATGTGCGCGCGTGCGCGCGTGCGTGCGTGCGTGCGTGCGTGCGTGCGTGCGTGTGTGTGCTTATACTAGCCCGGACATGTGATACCCCATTGAGATGCCATACTGCAATTTAGCATGGATACCCTACTCAGACACAGTATATCTTTTAGCCCCTCAATGCCGAATGCCAGGCAGGGAAACAATAAGCACAATCTCTTAACGTTTTTGGTATGGTGCGGCCAGGGGATCGAACCACCGACATTTCACCCTCCGGGCAAATGTTCTTTCCAACGATGTGGTATTTAATCGTTGAAGGGGTCAATATGGAATCTTCAAATATGGTTAAAAAACCAACCCCCAAAACGAGATTTTATCTTTCACAAAAAAACCCACAATATCCCGAAAGTACTTCTGGTTCACATAAATGACATATTTAACAATTAGCACACCCAGGTTCTATTTCTTCATCAGACGATGTCTCTAATGTCTATATTAATCTGACACAGTGACTAAAGTTCTAAACTTTGTTTTGTGTAAAAAAATCACCAATTCAGAGGATATCATTGGCTGTAACCCAGTGTTTAAACAGTGTACAAAATTCTTGAGTAGATAATCAATTACTACGAACCGTTATTGGTATTTCTAAAGTGAGCCGACGAAGACTGGGATCGAAGAGAAGGGCACGTGGTTTAATATCGATCGGTGATTGGTACTTTCCTGTTGCGCATAAGGACCAATCAGGGCTGAGATTCCCCCAGAAGCGCGGACCTGAAAGAAAACAACCATCTATTACATCATACAGCTTTCATTTTGTACCGAGAAATTAAAACCACATTAAGCCTAAACCAGAAGAAGCTAAATCAATTAACGAACGCTGGTCGGCAATACGCAAAATAGAAACCTCACGTCCAGATATGGAATTAGTCAATAGAGGGACAGTTTTTGTCGCAAATGGATAAACTTTTTAGACTCTAGTGTTTGCAAAATGAAGAGAAGGGGCATAAAAACTAGAGCAAGATTTATGGGATAATCAATAACCCACAAGGAATCCAGACGGCCAATAGTTCCTGGTATCAAACGAAGCCCTACCTTGCTGGTTATGATTAAATTCATGAAATAGGACCGACTCGGAGAAATTAAATCTCGAAAGATTTATTCTGGCATTGCCACATCAATAATAGGATATTTTTATCTAGCTTACGTGTTTTGACACTGAGGATCAATCGCAGAAAGACGGATTCTATGCTCGATATCGCACGCAGTCCCAGTGTCTGATAGTTAAAGCGCGTTTCGTGTAAAACTAGAATTGCCATCTATTGGTGGAACTATATTTTAAGACACGATCACCTACTGAAATGAACTCGCTTATTGAAAATGTCGGCGTCAATATCCTAGAATGCGGTTCGTATTAACTTAGAACCATAAAAATGGTTTGGCATAAATGTTTTCACTTCTATTTACGCAAGGGTTATATATATAGGAATTACGACGTTAGATATTTTGGATTGTACTGGGTCGTGAAAGTTCGGCATGTTTGAGCAGATTGTGGGCGCAGTACAACAGCCGGTGTCGGTTTTTGGGTAGGGATTGACAGGTTTGAAAGTTCCCAAGAGGCAAAATAAACTTTTCAAGGTTTTTACAGTTGAGCCAATAAAAAAAACAGCTTTTTATTGTTATATTTTTACTCTAAAATGAACATCATAACTATCGTAGATAAAACAAGAAGAAAAACAAAACGATTGTGCCAGTTCAAAAACACCTTTAGGTGTGTTGGTTGTGTTGATAAATAGTTTACTTTGGTATGGTGATTTCTCTATTGTCCGTTTTTCAAATGTCATTGAGGATTGTCATCATGTTCATATATGCAGGTTTTGGAGAGGTCGTGGGAGTATGCAGCACACGTCATTTATTCCACTGTCCCTTCGTGGGTGGTGATTGTGGCTTTAGCAGCATAGCAGCAATATTTGCGTTTGTATGGTTTTACACCTTTTTTTTAGCAATATTCCAGCTATATCATGACCGGACCATCAATTGGATTCACACATACCCAAAAGCGTACAAACGCCTTCACCACCAGACTACCCTACAACCCCAGTAATATTTAAGTTAGTGAGTGAGTATGGCTTTTAGCACTGTTCAAGCAATATCAAGGCGGATTTAAGTTATGAGACAATGAACTGAACCAGGAAGAGTAATCGCCCTAACTAATAGGCCGTCCCACAGCCCGTGAGTATTGAAATGTATACCCTTGTTCCCACTGCTGAAATATTGCTAATATGGAATTCTGAAATACAAAGCATGGTCAGAAGATGGGTCAGCTGGGATTTAACTCCGATTTAAACAACATTAGAGCAGAGGGCCGCCACACACTGGCTCCACACATTGTACCCATGTGAGGAATCGAACTGGGTAATCTAAGGGGCCACAATGCGCTGTGCGGAGTTGCGTCTCTTTGGCATGCCAGAGGCCTTTTATCTTTCGTTCGTGTCCCAGTTTCGCCCTGATTATGTTTCTAGGTGTGATGACAGTGCTCGTCTGTTTCATCAAAATGGGGAGGCACGGGTGGCCAAGTCGTCTAAGGCGCCGCGATTCGCTGTGTAGAGTTGCGTCCATTGGGCATGCCAGAAATCTATCATTGTCGGTTCGAATCCCGGTTCGCACTGATTATGATTCTAGGTTTGTCAGCACCATACCCGTGCTCGTGGGTTTCACCGAAGTGGTAAACGTCTGAGACTTCGGGCTTTCTTCCCACATTAAGCTGGCACGCCGTGATATAACTGGAATACTGTTAAAAGCGGCGTTAAACCCAACTCACTCACTCACTCACTCACTCATCAAAGTTGTAAATATCACTTCATCACTTCAGGCTTTCCCCCAATATCAGGCTGACACGCCGTGACATAATTTAAGGCGTCGTTGAACCCAACTCACCAACTCACTCACTGATCTACAAACAGTATTTTTACTGTCCTAGGACATATATTTAAAGTTATATGAGACGCAAATGATAAATGTTATTTAAAACATTCCAAATAAATTCGTTCCACGGCTTCTACCGTTCCGGCAATAACAAGTAGGTCAATCGTTGGCGCGTCGAAGAACCCGGATGTGGTCTCTTGGGCGTGATAACATACCGGTCAATACTTGGAATTCGCAAAATGACACTCATGCAATATCAGAATGAATATTCACATTTCCTACACGGGTAATTATCCCCTGAACCACATATCCATCATGACAGTTATTCAAAAAAACACAAGAACATCAAAAGCACGGCTATCTACGACGGCTATTGCTAACAACCGCTTCCTTTCACCGCCACAATTGATTATACGTAAAGCTTTCCATCGGACACTTATGTTGATTTAGTCAAGCTTTTAAAAAACCGACGTTCTTTGATTAAAAACCTGACAGTTCCGTTCCAACGACAAAACCAAAGTTGTTCACACCGTAACGGGAAAAGCAATATTGATTTGAAAAACATGTTTAGGGAAAATATAGAGCGATTAAGTTGGCCTCCTCATACTCTACGGCATTGCTTTTTCTTTGAGACGCTGTAGGGAATTCACTGAGGTTATTTCGCACACCAGTAAGCCATTACAATGGAGGCAGTAATTCGCTCATGTCCATTTAGCGGGGACACCAGCATTTAACCTGTGCCTGGCACCAAGCTTACATTAATAGCGACAGTATTGATCACTGATGTTATAGAGGAATGAATATTTACCGATATTTGCCGATTCCTACAACAAATACAGCAGTGAAGATCAATGGATCCGCCAATCCCCGAACCCGCCATTAGAATACGATCCAACGGTGAAGGGTGATCGCCTGGCATATTCAATAAGGTTATTATTCTATCTAAATATTTTCCCAATAATTGCGTGAATACCAAAGAAGGAGATTCTTCCTTCGGTTAACGTAACCGAAGATCGATTCGATCGGAATATCGTGCTTGTTGTATGACTCGGGAGGAATTATGAGGTTGATAAATATGCTCGGGCGGAGATATGCGACTAGAACCCTGTAAATACAGGACAAATCTCGCTCATCGCAGCAAGCTCGTAAATCTTCTCGAACACAGAAATGGAAACAGACTGGAAAGTCAGTATTTCGCACAAAATAGAAATATACTCTTCAAAAAAAAAGAAACGCAAAGCCAGATTTGTGTGAGGTAGGAAAATGCATTTATACGAGTGAGTGAGTGAGTGAGTGAGTGAGTGAGTGAGTGAGTTGGGTTTAACGCCGCTTTTAACATTATTCCAGTTATATCACGGCGTGTCAGCTTAATGTGGGAGGAAAGCCCGAAGTGATGCAGGTCTCAGACGTTTACCACTGTGCTGACAAACCTAGAAACATAATCGGGGCGAACCGGGATTCGAACCCACAATCATAGGTTTCTGGCGTGCCCAAGGGACGCAACTCTGCACAGCGTATCGCGGCGCCTTAAAGGACTGGGCCACCCGTGCCCCCGCATTTATACGAGGAACCTACAAGGGATTGAGCTATAATGTTAGGGAGAGAACGCGTGGTGATTGTAGTCATCTCAGTTATCGGTACATAGGAAAAGTCCAAGGTGAAGGTCAGCTACCATCAATAACGCGTATGTACCCCGTTGGAATTGGTAGCGGCCTGACATATCCTGCCCATGGAACAGACGAGTATGCGAATCACATCCTGGGGAATGGTAGCCCACTCAGCCTGCAACGCAAAAGCCAACTGCTGCAACGTCTGGGGTTGTGGCTGACGTCGGCGTAGCAGTCTATCCAATTCATCCCACAGGTGCTCTATCGGGTTCAAATCTGGAGATCTGGAGGGCCAGGGGAGAACATCAACATTGTTGTTGTGTAGACAGGCTCTTGTGATCCGTGCTGTTCGGTCGAGCGTTGTCCCGCTGGAATACACCGTTATCGTTGGCAGGCAATCGTGAGGACGTGTGAGAATTTCGTTAATGAATCGTTGAGCCGTACGATTGCCCTGGAAATGGACAAAACCTGTCCTGCCAAGATGAGAGATAGCCGCCCACATCATAACGCTACCCTCACCAAACCTGTCCACTTCCTGTACGCAGTTTCCGGCGTAACATCCTCCCCGACGTCTGAAGATCCGTGCTCTTCCATCCCCTCGACGGATGAGAAATCTTGGTTCGTCACTAAACCAGACATCTCTCCATCGCAGTTAAGGCCATGCCCTGTGTTGACGACACCAATGCAGTCGTTGTTGACGATGCTGTCGACTCAATATGACGCGTCGAACAGGGCGTTTTGTTCGTAGACCTGCTGCACCTAAACGGTTTCGTACGGTCTGGTCGGTGATTCTGCGCAGTCCGGGTATTTGGGATGCGGTTGGAGTGGCTGTGGTCGTCCTTTCACGTAGGTGGCGCAGTCGGATGAAGCGATCTTGGGCGGGGGTGGTTACTCTTGGTCGTCCCGACTTTGGCCGATCACGTGTTGACCCATGCTGTTGAAACCGATCCCATAGCCTTGTGATGGTGCTGGGCGCTTCATTGAAAACCCTGGTGACAGCTGATCGGGATTCCCCTGCCTGCAAGCGGTCTATGACGTTGTTTCTTTGCACTTCTGTTAATCTTGGCATGTTGTTGAACTGTCACTGTTCGATTGACAGGCATTCAAACTCCCTAAACTTTAATACCGTTAATAGTGCTGGTGCACGAGCTGTACGTGCAGCTCCATGGCCCTCTTGTTAATGCACTGGGTGCTTTTTTCCGAGATGTACGTGTTTCCCGACTAATGGTTTGCATGTCCTTG